CAGGAAGCTGCACAATGGCTCGGCTTCCGGCCCTGCGCGGCGCCTTCCGCACACGCAGAGGCACACTCGTGCACTTGCATGCACACACACACGCGCACGTGCTTTCGTCTGTGCACACATCTGCACGTGTGCGTACGTATGTGCACACTTATGTACCTGCATGCATGCACCTGTACACGCATACTCAGATGGGCACACTCACGCACTTGCATGCACACACCTGCCCAAGCATGTACCTGCATGCACAGGTATGTGCCTACATACATGCCTGCACCTGGATGCACACATCTGCACAGGCATGCACCTACACGCTCGTGTACAAACCTGCATACAAGCACCTGTCTATCCATGCAAGTATGTGCATGCCTATGTATGCACACACCTGTACATGCATGTGCATGCAGCACCCTATCCCTGTGGCTCCAGGGCTGGAGGCACCAGAAGCCCCTTGCTCCTCAGCCCAGCAGGTTGGGGGTGTGAGGACTGCATGGGGACTTGGAAAATGAAGAAGAGGCCTGGTTGGGGGAGTCACAACAAATGCCTTTATTTACACACTGGAAGACCTCAGCCTCCTGCTTCCATATAAAGCCCCCCTCCCACCAGGGGCAAGGTGAGGGGGAGCAGGGGGAGTGTAGGCTGGGTGGGGGGAGCTAGGGGATTGAGGGGTGGGAGTGCAGAGGTAATGGCACGGGGCACAGGAGGGTCCTGGTAGGGGTTTGGAGGGTGTCAACAGGTGTACCAGGGCCATCTGGAGAATCAGCCCTTTCTTAACCTTGCCAGCCCCCCTCCCAGCCTTCATCTTTGGGTTCACAGTTGCATCCCAGGGGGCCTCAGAGGCCACAACTCCCTCCTTGGTCTCCTTGGGTGGCTCCACTCCGGCTTCACTCTGACTTCTATGGGGAGAAAGAGCTGTCAGCTAGAGTCCAGCAGGGCCGGGCTGGGTGTCCCTTGCAGACTGACTACCTCACTCAGGGGTGCACAAAGTACCTGAAGCACTGGGTCAGTCTCTGTAGACCCTGCTGCCACCCCATCCCCCTTTTCTCCAGCTTCTAGACCCTCGACCTGACCACCGCTGAGTTAGTCTCAAAGATGCACCTTGTCCTCCTGCCTGCAGGGAGGACACTGGGAGATCCCTACACCCCAGTGGGGGAGCTTGGTTGAAGGGTAGATCCGGTTGCTCCAGCCCCAGCAGGGCAGGGGGCATGGTGCGGGGATATGGGGCTGGTTCAGGGGATTATTTACCTTGTTTTCCTCTTCAGCATTGGAGCCTGGGGAAGGAAGCAGGGGAGAGGAGTGAGACCTGTGCTGGGGAGGGGCTACAACGGGCTGGGGGGTATATGCCCCAAGGAGGGGAGTATATGCCCCTTCCCCGGGAACTGTGGAAAGGTGCAGGGGAGGCTGGATCCCAGGATGGGTGTATTGGGGGAGGGGGAGGTTACGCACCGAGTCCCCCCAGGGCACGTGCAGCGCCATACAGCAGGAAGGCAAGCAGGAACAGTCCCACAGCGTCCTCCAGGGAGGGACCTGAAGAGCCTGGGGGGGTCAGAGGGACAGTGTGAGGCCACCAGACAGTGCCCTGGGTCCCCCAACCCAGTTCCCACATCTCTATGGGCCCTCAGCCCAACTGGCACCTACCTGCCACGTGGAGCTGGGTGCGGCGGTGCAGGGGGGTACGCAGGGCCACATGGGCCACAGAGCAGGTGATGGTGGTGCCGTGGTCACCAGGTTGAGCAGGCAGCAGATGGGCAAAGCTAGTCAGCGCATAGGTGCCATTGGGGCCACGCCGGTGCCCTGACTGCCATGTCTCAGCCACAGCTGTGGCTCCTGCCCCACCAGGCTCCCGGCGCTCCCATGTCACAGTCACGTCCAGTGGGAAGTAGCCCGAGATCTCGCAGGCCACTTCTACCCGCGCCCCTGGAGCCACCACCACTGGGTCAGGGTGCAGCACCACCTTGGGAGGCTCTGTGGGAGAACAGGGGGTTAGAGACTGGTCCCATATGGCTCAGCTCCCCTTCCCCATCCCTCAGGGACAGTACCGGAGGGGGAGAGGGGGCAGCATACAGCAGCAGAGTCATAAAATCAGAGAAAATGAGGGTTGGAAGGGACCTCAGAAGGTCACATCTAGTGCATCCCCCTGCTCAAAGCAGGACCAGCCCCAACTAGATTATCCCAGCCAGGGCTTTATCAAGCTGGGGCTTCAAGACCTCTAAGGATGTAGACTCCACAACCTCTCTGGGTTACCTGTTTCAGTGCTTCACCACCCTCCTAGTGAGAGTTTCTCTCAATCTCCAACCTAAACCTCCCTTGCTGCAACTTGAGCCCATTGCTCTGTCATCTGCCACCACTGAGAACAGTCCAGCTCCATCCTCTTTGGAGCCACCCTTTAGGGAGCTGAAGGCTGCTATCAAGTCTCCTCTTCTCCAGACTAAATAAGTCCAGTTTCCTCAGCCTCTCCTCACAAGTCCCAGCCTCCAAACCATTCTTCACTAGACTCTTCCCAATGTGTCCACATCCTTTCTGTAGTGGGGGCCCCAAAACTGAACACAGTACTCCAGATGTGGTCTCACCAGTGTGGAATAGAGAGGAAGAATCACTTTTCTTGATCTGTGGCAACACTCCTGCTAATGCAGTGCAGGATGCCATTAGCTTTCTTGACAACAATCACACACTACTGATTCATATACAGCTTATTGTCCACTGAAACCCAGGCCCTTTTTTGCAGAGCTGCTGCTTAGCCAGTCAGCCCCCAGCCTGCACCGGTGCATGGGATTGTTCCCTCCTAAGTGCAGGACTTTGCACTTGTCCTTGTTGAACCTCATGAGATTCCTCTTGGTCCAATCCTCCAATGTGTCTAGGTCACTCTGAATCCTAGCTCTACCCTCCAGCAAATCTACTATTCCCACCAACTTGGTGTCATCTGCAGACTTGCTGATGCTGCACCCCATCTCATCTTCCAGGTTGCAGATGAAGACATTGAACAAAACTAGCCCCAGGATCCACCCCTGGGGCATTCCAGACAGAGGTCAGCCCCAGTCCAATACAGCCCTTATAGGGCCCAGCTTCTCTTCCTCCAGAGCCAAGCCGAAGGGGGTTGGAGCACTGCAAACTATCCAGCAGCTAGAATGGGCACAGGGGCCTTAGCAACCAGTCCAATACAGCTGCACCCGCCTCTCCCACCCCCGGGGAAGTGCATCAGGGGACAACACAACCCAGAGGAATCTCGGGAGCAGGTGGCTTGGAGCCCAGCCCCATATGGCCCAACACAGGTTCAGCCATCGGTCCAATATGCCCCTGTGAAGCCCAGTGCCTCCTCCACACCCCCGGGGGGGGACAAAGACTATATGGAGACCCTGAGTGGGGTACAGGTCCCGACTCACCAGCAACGTTGAGCTGCATGGCCTGCTGGGCGTGCAGGTGCGGCCGGTAGACGGTGCAGATGTAGGTGCCATCGTGCTGGGTACCCACGTTGCGCAGCCGCAGGGAGACATTGTACATGCCCCCCACATTGTCGCCTAGGAAGAGCTCAGCCCCTGGCTCAGCCACGTGGGTGCGGGCAGCTGTCCCATCATAGGCCAGCAGCACACGCCCAGTGCCCCGGTGCTGATAGCGCCACTCCACAGAGAAGGAGGGCCCCAGCGGGGCCGTGAACCCGCAGTCCAGCAGCACGTCCGTGCCCAGGCGAGCGCAGGTTTTGGGGGTACGGGTGAACACGGACAGCGCTGCTGCAGGGACACGGGACAGACATGGCTCCAAGCTATGAACACCACCGAGACAGGGCTGTGGTCTCCCTCCCCCCATTAGCCCCATCAAGGAGGGATACGAGGCTGCGGCCCCCACCTCCCACATCAGCCCCATCAAGGAGAGATGGGGATCCCCTGGTTACCGGTTGTCAGAGTCACCCCCTCTGGTTGCTGGGGCAGTGGTGGCTGGGCCTGCAGGACACTGCTGACGCCATAGTGGACAGACGCCTGGACACTGGCCATGAACCAGGGGCCATGGAGGCCAGTGGGACAGAGCTCCCAGGGAGTCAGCCCCGCAGCCCAGGGCACATGGGCATCCTGGGGCGTGTAGCCCGACACCTCACAGGCCGGGGGTGCCACTGATGCCTTTGCTCCTGCTGCAGAGGGGTCCTCAGCCAGGAGCAGCGCCGACCGTAGAGCCCCCGCTGGGTCTGGCGGGGAGACGTGGCATTAGGGGGCATGGAGACCCCCCACCCTCACAGCGCTGCCACGGGGGCCCCATGGGGCCTGGGGTGGGGGTTTATGGCATTAGGGGGGAAAAGACCCCCTCAAATTCTTGCTCAACCCCCCTCAAACCCACCACCTGCCCCAGGGCCCTGATGGGGTCAGGGGGGGCAGGATTCATGGTGTTAGAGGGAACAAAGACCCCCACCCCCCATGCTGGGAGGTGGGTCTGGGGGAGAGAAAGACGGTACTAGAGGGAGTGCCCCACCCTGGGGATCTCTCCCCATCGTGGATGTGTGGGCCTGAGACATGGCATCAGGGACCCCCCCCGCAAGCCCCGGGACCGGGACCGGGACCGGGACCGGGACCTGCCCCTGCCGTCGGGGAGGGAAACGCTGGCACGAGGCGCGACGTGACCCCCGGGCCGCACGTACCGAGGACGGCGAAGGCCAGGCCGGGCTCCACGTCGGCGGGCAGCGGCAGGCCGGGCTCGGCGGGGCCCAGGGCGAGCAGGGCCGGGCGCTGCGACACGGCGCTG